CCCTCAGGACCTCCCGCTCGGCCGGCGAGTACCAGCTGGTGCTGGAGGCGGCGCGCAAGCTGCAGGAGAGCGGCTTCTACTGGAGCGCCGTGTCGGGCGGCGAGGCCAACGCGCTGCTGCGCGCCGAGCCCGCCGGCACCTTCCTCATCCGCGACAGCTCGGACCAGCGCCACCTCTTCACGCTCAGCGTCAAGACCGAGGCGGGCACCAAGAACCTGCGCATCCAGTGCGAGGGCGGCAGCTTCGCGCTGCAGAGCGACCCGCGCGGCCAGCCCGTGCCGCGCTTCGACTGCGTGCTCAAGCTGGTGCAGCACTACATGCCGCGGCGCCCGCAGCGCGCCTACTACATCTACTCGGGCGGCGAGAAGATCCCGCTGGTGCTGAGCCGCCCGCTCTCCGCCAGCGTCTCCAGTCTGCAGCACCTCTGCCGCAAGACGGTCAACGGCCACCTGGACGCCTACGACAAGGTGGCCCAGCTGCCCGGGCCCATCAAGGACTTCCTGGACCAGTACGACGCGCCGCTGTGAGGGGCACGGCTGGGGCTACCCCGCTGCGGGTGCCAGGGCAGGAGCCGTACCCGGGCGGCGCCGGCCGGAGCGCTGGAGTCCGGCCGGAGCCTGAAGCTTTTCCTCCGTTTTAAGGGGAAAGTGTTTTTGTCGTGTGGCTTTCCGTCGGGGGAGGTTTCCTCCCGCACTGACCCTTCACCTCTCGCTGCCTCGCGCCGGCCCCCACAAGCGGAGGCAGCCGCCTTCCCCGCTCGCTCCCGTCATCCAAGGGACTATGCCTTAAACTTCATCCCTGTCCCGAGGACGGGGCGGCCGCACAGCGCGTGACAGCACGGACGAGGGACGGTCCGGGCCAGGCCGTCCCAACCAACGCGTGGACACCAAAGAGCTCCATGTGGCCACGTCCCCGGCGGGAGCACCGGAGAGACACGTCCGAGCCCGACCATTGTTCCCAAGTGCTCTCCCGGCAGCCCCTGGACTCCTGGACCACGCCAGAGGAGGGGTTTCCCTCCCACCCCTACCTGCCCTGGGGGCTGCCTGGGCCCTGGCTGCACTGCTCTGTGGTGGCACTGATCTGAACCCGAATGTAGCAACCAGAGGAGCCCCCGGAGCCCGCTGCGTCGCCGGCGTCCCCCGCCTTGGCCTGGAAGAGCAGCCGGGTGTTTCTGGTTTTCCAAGAAAGCGATGTTTACAGACCTGCCTGAATCACTGTCTTTTATAAAGATTCCACCTTCACCTCCAGCCTTGAGGGCTGAGCAAACCATGCTTGAAAACTCAACCCAAACCAAACTCAGACGAGAACTTTGCACATATTTATATTTATATTCAGGAAGGAAGCCTTTCCATAATTTATAATAAAGAGCACTATTTTTTAATGAAAAGCCCAGCTTCTGGGTCTGCTTCCCACCCCACCCTGCCTGCCCCAGGCTGCGGTCCCTGGCCCCGCCACAGCTGCCCACCCAGGGCTCCTGCCGGGCCTGGAAGAGCAGCCTGGGGTTGACGTCAGGCGAGCGGCAGCGTCCCGCGGTTACCGTCCAGAGCAGGGGTGATTCCTGCCGGCGGTGAGTCAGCCTGCGTAAGCACCGCTCCTTACTGTAAAGGATGTCTGAGTGCTGAGACGCCTCGGCCTGCCCCAGCGGCGCGGGGCCCGCTCCCTGCCAGCGCCGGGGCCTGCTGGCCCCGAGCTAGCTTTTGCAGGGGTCCGGGCAGCCCCTGCCGAGTGGTGCCAGCACTTTTGCCCTTCGGGGCTAGGGGCAGTCAGCGCCTCCCTGGGCTTGGCTCAGCGCCAGCAGGGGAAGCGCATGGGGCTGCGCGGCCCCAAGCCCGTGGAGCCGACAGCTGGCCCGGGGGAGCTACCCCCTCTCCAGGCTGGGGGGGCAAGGCCACGAGGCCAGGTCTCCAGTGGGCTCCAGTGGCAGCAGTGCTACCAGAGAAGAACCACGGGGCCCCCACACAGGCATGCACACAGGGGCTGGCCGGGCTGGGAGAGGGGCAGTGGAAGAACCCCCCCGGGGCGGGGCAGCGATAGCTGCCCTCCAGGCCCAGGGACACACATGAAGCTGCCAGCACCTGAGTCCAGGGGGCGGCTGGGGCTAGCAGAGGAGCAGCCGTGCCCCATGGTGGGGCAGCAGGGGACACGGCTGCTCCGTCCAGCTGGGAGGCTTCGAGGGCAGCAGGAGCCCTGCCCTGGCAAAGACAGAGGGCCCCTGGTGTGCTGGGACCCTACCCAGCACCAGTCCCCCTCCTGAGCCAGGCTACCTCATGCCAATGGGTCGGGTGGGCACCGCTGGCATGCGGGGCGCCGTGGCCGTGCTGCCCTTTGGTCTGCCCCGCATGGCACAGCTGAAGCCCAGAGAACAGGGCAGAGGCTCAGGCACCCGCAGGACCCTGCTCCAGGGCTCTGACCAGGCGGCACCGCGCAACCGTGTCCCTGCCGGGAGGAGCCCCTCACCCACCGGCCCAGCCGGAGCTACGCGCAGCGGGCAGCCACCTGCCATCCTGCCGAGGCACGTCCCCATCAGCCCCGCCACGCCAGCCGCCACACCCCCCGCCCTCCCCATGCGGGGTCTCCACAGCAACGCACGAAAGGCTGGAATATCACTGTTTATTCTCAGCCCAGTGCCAGGAAACTCCACGCGGCCTCCTCCCCCTTCCCCTCCACCCGCCCGCCCGCAGAGCTGCAGGCTGCAAGGGGGGCCGGCGCCGGGGCCCCG